CTCTCTCTCGCTCTCTCTCTCGCAAGTACATCTCTTTCGGTTAGCGTGGCTCTTTCGCTTAGCAGATCTTTGTACGTTCTTCTTGGTGGGTGCCTCTGAGCTCGAAACCGAACCATTCCCGCAATTGCAGAGGCCCCTTCCGTGCCATGTTTTCGACTGTCGTCGTGGCCCTCGCAATCGCGGGCCATGCTGAGTCAGCCATAGACCATTTGCAGCTGCTGCAGCAGAAGATGGTCCTAGCTCCGGAGAAGCAATGGAAGCGCATGCGCGCTGCTGAACCGCTGAATTGGATCCACTTCCCGAAGCTAGGTGGGCCATTGCGGTGTTTTGTTACATCTGGGGTTGTTCCAAAGGTCCTTCCGATGGACCATGGGGAGAAGAGCTGTTGAAGGGGAGGCCTGACAAACGATTTGTTTTACAAACGACGTATGGAATTTTCAGAGGATCTTATGTTGAATTGCTTTCAGCGGTACAGGGGAACCTAGGAAATGCGGCAGCTCGTTGGTCAACGTGATCATCCACATGCCTGGCTTTTGCCCAGTCCTGGACAACATCACGATGAGCGCCGAGATCCGAGGCCCCTGTTTTCTGAACACTTGGTTGCGCGGCCGACATCCAGTATGCCGTTTCGGCTTTGGTATCCGAAGCGAAGTGTGAGTCTAGGTTGGCATAAGCGGCAGAACCGTAGATTGAAAAACCGCCAGGTTGCCACAAGCTTGTCAGCAGCAGTGCAACACGGACTACTTCTTCTGTGGTAGGCCGCACCATCCGGTTGGCAATTACTCCAGGCAGAGAGGCCATTTGGTCGGTATGTTCCGAGATCCCGACCAGCGAATCCTCTCGGGCTACCATGACAAGCTGCCTTTCGCGGGCCCCAGTAACAATTCAGACTACATAAAAACCATTGTTGAAGGGGTCTGTGATCTCGAGGAACTCGCAAGAGCCATGTCTTTGCCGAAAAGGCCCATTCTTGAATTTGCTGAGTCGTGGAAAGGTGGTATGACGTATCAGCTGCTGGCACCTTCAGATGAACAGCCGACGGACCCAAACCGAAGAAAGATGACGCGGGAAGATGCAGCGGAGGCAGCCCGAAGAGTGACGGAAGGCTTTGCCTTTGTGGGCATCACAGAAGAGTGGGACTTGTCAATGTGCCTTTTTCACAAGACCTTCGGGGGACCTTGTCGGGCCTCAGACTTCGAGAACACGAGGCCAACCTTTTCAGGGAAGTCTGCGCAGACGTACTACGACACGTCCGAGCTCATGGGCTGGCATGACGACATCGATGAAGTCGTCTACACAGCGGCCCTAAAGGTCTTCCACAAGAACCTGTTCTCCCTTAATGTGTCTCATGACACCTGCCAGGAGTGCTACAGAAGTGCAGGGAGGCAGGGAGCTCTTACTTGAGCTTCAGTGCTGTTCCGAGAGACCGGGGGGCCGCTCCTGAGGTTCTCACGGAGGCAATTGCAATTTGCCTGAGTTGCACCCACTCGCAGACAGCGTACGCAGACACTCGCAGACAGCGTTGATACGAAAGCGGCTCTCGACACTGTTGCTGTGGTGCAAACTGCGCTTTATGCCAGGGACCAACCATAAACCCAAAACTCTAAGATGCTCGGAACTCAGGAAGTGCAGAAGGGGAGGGTCCAAGCAAGGGCTGGAAAGCCGAAACTGTAACTCGTAAACCCTCAACTCCTCAAGCCTTAAAGCCTAGAAAGCCTGGACCCAACCGCTAAGTCTCCCAAACTCTCCTAAATCCTAAGCTGCGAAATAGTTAACGACAAGAGGTCCCACCATACTGCACTCACGATCCTTCCTGGAGTAGCTCTGACCATCATTCTATATAGCACCATCAGCTACCCGACCCTGAGCTGCAAGGCACGATCCACATCGCCCACCCACGTGACGCAGCCTTGGCGGCTCTGACCATCATTCCTTTGAGCCTGCCCTCCATGACTATCGCACCGTTCCTCCATGTTGTTTGCTTGGCTTGCTTTGGTCTTGCGGAGCGCGCACCCGAAAATCTCAGTCTCTTGCAGCACACACTGAAGCTGGAGGACACCAGGATCGGCTCGAGCGGCGACCAAGTTTATTCCTTGTTTGATAAGTTCCACAAGGTGGCCGGCAGCACATGGCGAGCCTACATTGACGGCATCTCTCACGAAAATAATTCTTGCAGCAAAGATTGTGGGAACCCTGTCTGGGACTGCCAGCAGCGCTACCCCCATGATACGGCGAGGTTCGAATGGTGCTGCCAGCATCCTGGGAAGAATGAGTCTTGTTCTGGGATTGCACACAGCTGCACCTTCCACACGAGCATGGCTGTGATTCGCCAGGCCGTTTCGGGTCAGAACATAACCACCTTGACATCAGACCTGTCCGATGTGCGGAACCTGTGGCCGAGCTCTGAACGCTTAAAGCTGCTTTGGAGAGTGGAGTGGGCCCGTTCTTGGTTGCCCTCAGACTTGCATCAAAAGCGCCTAATCGTGACGACGCTCCTCAGGGAGCCCACCGAGAGACTTCGTTCTTATTATTACTTTGGCGGGAA